GCGAGTACATTGTTTATTTACCAATTCAGAGATGATTTTATGATCTACAGCTGAGTGATGCACAAATAGGATACATTTTTGTTAATAGTTAAGGTACTTGAATGCATTTATAAGATTTAACTCCTCCGTTTAGTGCCACTTTAAAAGGAGAACTATGAGGTGAGTGCTTTTCACTCACCTCAAAGTTCTAGCCGACCTGTGACAATGAGACTGTCACAGGTCGGCTCAGTAGATCGGGAGGTGAGCGAACACATGCTGCTGTTCGCTCACTTCTCGATCCTGTCACGGCTCTCTGCCGTGACAGGCGCGGGGATGGATTCCCCTCTCCCCGCTCCGATCTGCCAGCGCTGACTGGCGGAACGGACGGGGGAGGGGCCGGGTACAGCTGGCTCTGCCTCTAGATAGGCAGAGCCAGCTGTCACTCACACAGCTGGGCGGATCCCGTCATCTAAGTCGGGATCCGCTCCGGCGTCTCAGTATATCGCAAGCTGTAGCTCGCGGTATACTGAGCTTAGGGTAACGGAAGGACGCTAGTTTGTGTCCTCCAGTTACCCTGAGAACTATGGGGAAAAACACTGACCCCATAGTTCTCCTTTAAGGCTTTCCAACACACCAGAATATCTCGTTTTGTTCTTCTCCCCTCCCCAGCACTCTCCCCAAAGCTTTCTAACAGAGCCCCCAGCAACAAAAATGTATAGGTGGTAAAGCAAACCACTGGTGGCGTTCGAGTGTTCCTAAGACAAGAAAATTCAACTACAGTGCCAGGTGCCCAACACTAAAAGCAGCATGACATTTTCAGTTTAAATCAGGAAGTACCATACTTTCTTCTATCCGTAGCACATCAACACCCAGGGTGGGGATTTCTACCATTAATAGTACTCATCATATGCCTTAAAAAACAATGCAACATAAAAGCTTTTTGCTTTCAGTTAATGGTACTACTATTGGAAAATTGTTACGTGTAATATATTATAAGGTTATTTTGAATACAAAGAATATGTCATTCTTGCAAGTGACACTACTTACAGCCCTCTGATATTATAAAAGCCCAACTTAAACTCCCTCCCATCCATTAAGGCACAGTAATTCATGGTGCACATCCATTCAGAGACCTGTGCCCGGGAGGGCTATGATCAAGGGCATGCATCCATACAGGTATGAGTGTGCCAGTTGGGGTTGCCATGTGGCCACATCCTGTCATAGAGATGTGCACGTGGCTGAATGAATGGCACCAAATGAACATGCAGTAAAATTTATGTTTTACCGCATGTTACCTAAAGCATAATAGTCTGAAAAGACCTTCATTGTTGGCAAATATTATTTCAATACTTGAATGCCTATAGCCTGGACACAGATTCACTTTGCAAAGTCAAGATCTTAAACTACAGCACCAGTTGTTGATATTAGAGTGAATTATAAAAGTAAATCTACTAAGTTTTAACTCTACTTTTTTTTGGACAGAGTACATTTGTGATACAAGACGTGTGAGGATTCGGATTGAAGTTTAAGGAGAAACAATAGGAAATTGGTAGCAAATTACTTTGGCAGATTAGACTTGAAAGACGGTTAATAAAACTCCACACTATAATCCCTTGGCAGGGGAGGGCTGCTACCTGGCAGTGAGTCTGCGGCAAAGTATTAAACAGGTGGCCTAGACAACAAATAGGACATTTAACATGATTGCTGTCAGGCTGAGCCGCGCTCTGTAGTGTTACAGTAATGGGCAAAACAGCATCAGTGCCTCTTGGGAGGAGAATCACCCCATCAGCCTTCTATTTAATGTATGGTAATGTTACCGGCAATCTCTGATGAGGAGCAGAAACACTTTATTTTTAGACCTATATTTTCTGGTGCAGCAGAATTCAAACATTTTATAGAGCTGTGTTGATTTTGCAGTCTCCCTATATATAACTGCTTTTGCTTAAAGGGCTCACCAAGTACTATTTTATCCAGTCTAGAAGGACAGTTTAAAGTTGAGCTCTAGAAAAATATAAAATCCCCCACTACTTTAATGCAGTTTGCATTAAATACAGCTAGTGTAAACATCTAAATTAAACCTTGTATCTAGCTCCTGTAACCACCTTTAAAAAAGCATTTAGAATGGGGGAGGGCAGGGCAGCACAAGAACCCAACAGTTGTGCAACATGCACATGTGCTGACCTGGAACATGTTGACAGGAGGAGAGTGCAAAGGGATGGATCATCAGTATTCTGCTGCTCCTTTACTGTTGAATCACGAGCAGAGGGAAGGGCGATGAACAAGCTGTATTGCTTAACTGTAAAGACAAATCACCAACCTGCTGTGCTGCGTGGCAAGGCTGGACAAATCTGCAAATTCTTCTTCTCCCATATATGTATTTTTAACATAACTGCAATATAATGTTAGAAATGCATAACCCTTTCTGAAAAACCCTCCTTTTATGGTAGAACCTTGACTATTACTACTCAGTACATGTGTACCAAAAGTGTTGAGGTTTAATTGGCTGCAAGGAAGGCTGCGGTTCATTGGTCTGTGTGTCAACCCATTAAATAAATGCATCAGTCACATGGCATAACTCAAGTTTGGGAAATCCCAATAAGCCTAAAAAATAAATGCAACTTTGGAAGAAAAAAATAAACTTTTAACTGTTTTAGGGCTTGCTCACACCATATACAGTGCGTTTCAGCAGGATTCGCTGTATTGCATCCCAGCCGGCTCCCTGCATTCTGGGACGGGAGAGGGCGTGACGGTGCATTGAAGTCAATGGCATCACAGCCACACCCCCAGCAGCAGAGCGATTGCCCGCACCAGAACGCTTGGCACATCAATGCCTGCATTCCAGGCCAGTGCGATCAGATAAAAATAGTGCTTGCAGCTTTTTTCCGATAGCACCAGACCGTAAAGCAGGCATTGATGTGCCACGCATTCTGCAGCAGGGGAGCGGGGGGACGTGGCTGTGGTGCCATTGACTTCAATGCACCGCCATGCCCTCTTCTGCCCCTGAACGTCAGCTGGGATCCGATACAGTGTGTTCCAGCAGCTATCCACGCTGGAACGCACTGTGTATGGTGTGAACAAGCCCTAAGTCACTAAGGGACAACCTCTAAGCTAGACCAGATACCTTCATGTTCAGCTCTTTTACTGAACACCTTGAGAACCCTGGAACACATCCTGTTATTGTGGTGAGGAACTTTGCCTAGTCCCCCGCACTACTGGTCAGTAAGAATGCCGATCACTGTGATGAGCCAATAGTGAGGATTGGGAGATAGTAAAGAGTGGGCTAGATCTCTATACCTTGGCATTGATTACATGGCTGGACTTTAGATGACTGAAACAGTATTGTTTGCGGACAAAAGTAAGTTTTTGTACTTTTTTTTTCCATCTGTGACAAATATAATATGCTAATGTGTGTGGAATCAAGTCTTAAAAATGCATCCAAATAGCTACAAGGGAGGTGGGCCTTGTTGGATGAACATGTAAGATGCTGTGTTTCAGAAACAAAACATCACAATACAACTCTTCATACAAATATTCAAGCACAAATGATATTGCTTGCTCTTCTGTATCCTCTCTTGGTTTACAATGGAATGGTAGATTATCAGTATGACTGCTGAAGGGGAAAAAAAAAACCCAAAACATTATAGTCTAACATGGCCTGGTTTCAACTGTTCCAATACAATGATGTACTAGAGGTGGTGTAATGTCTGTGGAATAACTGAAATACAGTATTTAGAGAAGGGAGCATGCACCTATTAACCTTATGCAGTTATAGGACATACTGATGTCCTTGTGGTAGAGATGTTACAGAATCAATGCTACAATATTTATCAGAGTACTGATAGTGACTGAGAGTTTGTATTTTTCTATTCACTGAGAGTATATGATACCATGAGAAGGCCCTATCCTTGTGGCAAATTAAGTTTAATGTTGATAAATGTAAAGTTATGCACTTGTGACAAAAACATGCATGCGCCATACACTCTAGGGGGAGTATGTTTGGGGGAGTCAATGAAGGAGAAGGAGGTGGAAGTTCTGGTAGACCATAGACTCAATAATAGCACGCAATGTCAAGCTGCAGTTTCTAAAGCAAGCAAAATACCTTCTTGTATTAAAAGGGGTATATACTCTGGAGATAGACATAATCCTGTCTTTTTTTTAACTGGATGCATATCTAAATGCACATAATATAACTGGATATTAACATGTATAATTAATAATACCAGAAATTGTTGATCCAAGGAATATCTGGACTAGCTTTGGAGATCAGGCGGGATAATTTTCACCTTGTTGGAGCAAATGAGATCATGCTTTCCTCTGGATCATCTGTGGGTAATGGGTTCTGTTTATGGAGGCTAATTATTTATTTTGTTCATCTTTTCTTTCTTTATTGGTTGAACTTGACAGAGTTGTGTCTTTTTATCTTTTTTCAAGCTGACTAACTATGTAGTTATATGACTATGTAACAAAACACATAAAGTTCACTTTGAGAGAGTTTAAAAATCATAAATGAATGTGCAGAACTGCTAGATTCAATTTTAAGTAGTGTTTCCTATAGGTACAAAAAAATACATACCCAAGGAGTTAAAAAAATTAAAATAAAATGTAAAACCCACATATTCAAAACACACTTAAAAAGCATAGTTCAATTTGCTCATACAGGCAAAAAGTCCTTCTTAATCCCCAAAGGCAACTGGATAACTTCTTGGATCAATGCTGTACATGGTTTATCTTGGAAATATTAGTAGCCGTTTAAAATGTTTGCATTAAAAAGCACACCCTACCCTTTTTTTCAGACTAGTCAGCAAGGATTAGCTGTTGTGGAAGTCTCACAGATTTTTACAGCTCTTACAGAAAAAAAAGTATATTACAAATAATATTTCCATCCTTTCGAAGTAAAGTAAGAAACTGATCAATAGTAATACAATATATTTGTGGCTCCAGGAAGAATGCACTGCAATGCAATCTTCCAAGATCTGAAAATGCCTGTAGCTCTACTAAATAAAATAACGCCAAAGACATACCTGCTACTTTCTTCCATAGGTTGATCCTCTTCCTCCAAACCGCGGTACTTGTCTGGGTCAGGTAGTGCACTCAGGTCTACTTCATTGTCGCTGTCTTGGTCAAGATAAGCAACGCCTTCATCTTCCTCTGCCTGAAACACATGATGTCAACCATTACTACAGCTCTACTTAGTGTATAGATGTTTATCAGAAATGCTATGCTTAAACAGGATCTTGCACGGTGATCACTTTGTACACACTGATTGCAATAAAAAGAATGTACTGTATATTTTCATTGAACACGTTTGAAATATTTCAGTGCCAACCTCTCTTATATGGCTTTTATACAATTTTCATATGCTTGCTCTTTTAAATTTTTCTTATTTCATTAAATGTACAGTAGATTATATAAGATACCAGCCACACAGGGAGCATTGTCGGCTGACTCCGACAGAAACATTGTGAAATGGAGAAGTAAAGCAAACCAATTGTGTGGCAATGTAAGGTGTTACATATGTTAAGGGAAATTATACCGTAGATGCTCCCCATCTAAATATAGAGTTAAATTATACACAGAATCAGTGTATTTACCCCAGTCACATATAAATATATATATGGTGGACATGCCCAAAAGGTAAAACCTTTCTGGGTCCGTGCTTGCTTAGCTTCTTTGGACTGCAAAGGTGACACGAGGGATCTAAAAGACTATTAACTTAAAATCAATTTTAAAAGAAACGTTAGTCCCATTAAGGAAGCCAGGCAGTGCGTACTGACTCGCTGCCTGGCTTCCTGATTAGTCATGGAGGCGGCTTTCTGGCCAATTAGGAAGCTAAGGGGCGGGTACTGACTCTCCGCCTGGCTTCCTGATTGGCCAGCTTCTCCACCAATCAGGAAGACGGGCGGCGAGTCATTACACGACGATCGGCTTCCTGATACCAGGATAAGCATCAGGAGCATTTGGGTGACTGGGTCAACTTACAAATTATAGAATAAGGTGTATAGATTTACAGGAAATCTGATTTTAAAAAAACAAAACAAAATGAACATCGATCAAAATGTTTTTGTCTATAGACGACATAGAAATAATATATATTTGCATGAAACTATTTCCAAAATAAAGCCTAGTCTATCACTCCAGACATAGGATACTGATAGGAGCACAGAGCAAAGTGAAAGAGAAATAAGCTTATCAGTCTGCTGTTTGACCTTCACTGTCCAGTCACAGGCTGGGAGAGGGACAAGATCTGCAAGAAGCTCTTCTGACCTAAGGCTGCAGCAAGCTGCACAATCCATGAAAAGCAGTTAGGGTGAATCTAGCTATCTTTTGTACACACAAAGGTCCCCTACATCTAATTATTAACCCCTTCATGACTGAGCTAGTTTTCAGGTTCTGTTCATAAATGACTGACACATTTTTTACATTTTTGCTGTGTGGTTCTTCCACGTCAGTAATATACTTTCTTACTAAATGTACCCACAACCAACTATCCAATTCATCGATAATACGCGATATTGATTAGCTGGTTGGATCCCATAGCTCTCTCAGTGGGCAGGTGCAATAGCCAGCCTGCTATTGGCTACTGGTATCTGAAATGGCAAATAGAAGGCTGGCATTTGCACCGGCCCACTACTTGCTGTATTTACATTCAGCTGCTGTCTGCGGAATCTCACCACTGGCAGCTGTCATTCCCTGGCTGAAGCTATTCAAGCGCCATGTGTTTACAATACAATTATTTTTAAAAATTATAAAAAGGTGGGAAGAGTTTTTTTCGGTTTGGGCCTGACAAATTCTGCTGCGGGAGGTGCGTTGCAGTGACATTCATTTCAATGGACCCAAATGCTCCTTCCACTTACAGTGTGATTACCTGCACTAGATGGAACACATGGTTCCGCAATGCCGTGCCTTACGGTGCAGTGCAATTGCAAAAAACTGTGCATGCAGTTTAATTCTGAAGTGAACTTTATGTTTGTAACACTGTATTTCTGTATTTTATTTTAAATTAAGGATAGTATTTCATTTTTTTACCGATCAAAAAAAAAATAAAGTCGGCCAACTAATCAATTATGAAAATAATCATTAGTTGCAGCCCCACTAATGATAACCAAGTAAAACTGAAAAACCCAACCAGAAGGAAATAGACACTAGAAACATGAAAAAGAGGAACTAATTTAATATAACTGAAGGAATGAAAACATTTGCTGCAGGTAAAAATGTTATAAAAGGTTAATTATGCTCTAATGGACAATATGCAAATAGGCTTCAGTGTGTCTTTTTGATTCACCTCCTGCTGTGTAACAAGCATTTGATCACCCATCTAAATTAAGTGATGTGTTATAACATAAAACATTTATTACTGGCATTTTACAGAATTCACAGGCCACAAAGCCCTTTCTTCCAGTAACAGCGGAGTCAAGCCTGTAACTATCCAACCATAGTGCGTTCTGTGACCCTGAAACACGCCACATTATGTCAGGTTCTGCAGGTGCAGGGAAAGGTTTGCGTTACAGCAGAGATTGCTGGTTTTAACTTGTCACAATACAGCCCCATTCAGCCTCTACACTCTGCCCTTCCTGTACACTTGTATTCTTTTTATATATACCAATATGTATATTTCATTTAGTTAGGAGTCAGAGGTAAATGGTAAATCCATACCGAATAAAGTTTAATAAAAACCTGGTTTGTGAAGAACTGAGAGGACCATTGTCAATATCCTGCCTAGCCTGCAGTGTGCCATTATATAAATACTCCCTGGAATCCAAATAGAATGTAGCAGACGCTCTTAATAACTGTATTGTGCCTCTATATGACAAATGCTAGTGCCTGTAACACAGTCACATACCTGTCAGAAACATATACATCAATTTATCATATTGATAAATGGTGGGAGTGGCACTGAGGCTGTCCATACCACCAACACTCTGTCCCCACGTGCATGTTCAGCCACAGGGCCACACAGCGTCACTGGTTGTTATGATGCTGTGCAGCTAACAGCATCCTAGCAACCAAGGAGGTTGTGCAGCCTACAGTATCGTAGCAACCAAGGATGCTGTGCAGCACACAGTGCCCAAGCAACTGATGATGCTGTGGGCCAACAGGATCCTAACAAGCAATGAAGTTGTGGGCCGAGATGATCCTAGCAACTAATGATGCTGTAGGCCAAGAGCCTACTAGCACCAATGATGCTTTAGGTCAAGAGCCTCTTAGCAACCAATGATGCTGTGGGCCAAGAGCATCCTAGCAACCAATCACACTGTGGGCTGATGGCGTCTTAGCAACAAATTACGTCATGGGCCGAAAGCATCCTATCAAAGGCCCGGCTTACTCCAAAATTACCTTACGACCAGTTATTTTAACTCTGAAATGGAGGTATTTGTTAATGAATTTGTCACAGACATAGTGACATATGAGAAAAGTGTTGCAAATAAGAACTTTGTGAATCTGTTGCACGTGTTGGTAATAACTAACAAAATTGTTGCAAACCTTTTATAAATTAGCCGCAATACCAGAATTGTGCTGCAAAGCCTTTATTGAACTGCCCCCACTGTTTGGCAGGTAACAGAGTGTGTGTCTACAGCAGTGACAAATTCAGAGGTTTTCAAAGATCTCGAACACACTGCTGTGACTCCATTAATATATTTCAGGCCCTGACCACAAATAGGATTCTTTTCTGTTACAGAATTGAAGAATCAGCATATGTAATAAAATACGAGTTTGTAGATGACTGACCATCACATCTATATGAACGTATTGGAATTACCCATGCAAAATCAGGGGCATTAGCATGATGGCGTTCAGCTTTAACAGTACACGTGACTGGAAACATCTGAACTCAATAATTTGGAGGGTTGTTCACCATCCTTTGGCCATACAGAGTATGTGTAAATATACTGTATATACACATAGGCTTGGAAGTTGAAGTGGTACTCCAGACACCGGGAAGGGCTATTCCTTCTGACAATATGTCCATTTTAAAGTGCTTTAAGTACCTGGGAAATTAAAAGAAATATGTCATATGAAAAATTTGGGGGTTGCATTTACTGACTTTTTTCTGAAGATGCTAGTCACTTGGCTGTTACGTGGGCACATTGTCCAATACATAGAAACAAGCATAAGAATCAGGAGGGTCAGGGAAAAGAAAGATGTCTTTATCTGAATATTTGTAATATCTGAGTCAGCGATGAAGTGAAAGCATGGAAAGTTCCACACCACTTACAAGTGTCAGACAGTTAAAGAAACCTGTCATAAGAAATATGTGGGCTGACATCACTGACCTTCTAAAAATGCTAGTTGTCTGGCTGCCATGCTAATCCTCTTGCTTTCTATTCTATCTGATTGACTGACCTAAAGCTCATAAGCAGTTCCAACTTCACCTCATAGAAAAGGCAATTAACATACTCGGGAGAAGGCCAGCGTATAAAACCTCTGAATTTCTAGAACGACAGATTCCCTTCAAACAAATAACTTTAGTTTGTATGTGCGATGCTCACTTATGGTTTTAAAGGCTTTGAGTTTCATAAAGCAAATTTTGTTTGCTACCTTGGAAGATTTACAGAGGTGCATCTATATATGCCTTCACTTTCATGACCATACATGGATGACCTCATCAATGTGTTGCAGGGCAGGGATGGGTCAGGACTAAGCTACATGGATTAACTGCAGTGAAGTGTGCAGGGAGGTCCAGGACCTAACTTTGGTGTAGGCTATGGAAGTCTGACTCACAAATATGGCTGAGCAGAATAAAAAAAAAACAAAAAAAAAACGTTCACATATACACTGAGTGGCCAGAATATTATGACCACCACATAAGAACTTAGTTGGGCCACCTTTTGCCTTCAATACTGCGGCGATTCTTCTTGGCATTGACTCCACGTGATGTTGAAAGGTGATGTGAGGAATCTGACACTGCACTGTTGCCCTTCTGTTGTCTTGTACCAGTCTTGCCACTCTCCGTTCTGCCCTAACATTGACTAGTCGCTGACGGCCACAATTCGCACGTTCAGACCCAGATTTTCGGCTGACAGTCCAGTCTTTAAACACTAACAACAGCTGCTCTTGAACATTTAACCAATTCTGCTGTTTTGCTGATATTCGCTCCATGGCTCCGAGCGCCAACAATCATCCCACGTTCAAAGTCTGTTAAATCGCATTGTT